GCAGTCTCTCAAATGTGAAGTGACAGATGTCAATGTGGAAGACCCAGCTTGGCTGTCATAAATAACCGTAAACTGTTTAATCTTGCTGAGTTGTAAATCTAGGATTGCCAGAAGTCTTCAGTTGACTGGAACCTTAGAAGAAGAGGTGGAGGGACACATGGAGACTTGTTATTGCCCAGTGGGTCCATTTAGGAATCCATGCATTTTAATTCACTATGACAAGTATTCAGAGGGAAAAATTGAGCTCTGAAAATATTGAAAGCATTTTATATACCCATAATCTACACATATATATGTTTTGAAGGATATTTATACACATCCCCTAAATGTATATGATATTTATAAAATAGATGTTTCTAAAATGTTGATTTCATATGTGTATGTGTGTGTACACATATAGTGTATATGTGTATAGTTTCCATCTACTTATAAAGTGGCATAGAATTCCATTCTCCTTCCTTATGCCATAAAAGTGGCATAGAATTCCATTCTTCTTCCTTATGCCACACCAAATTCTATCTTCTTTCCTGGCCCTACTTAAGAAGAGAATAGAACAGTCCAAATATCAGAAATGTTAGAAATCTGCATATAACAGAGAGTGCCCAAATGCTCTTAGTGACCTATGTTTCTTTGATGAAAAGTAAAATTTGTCCCGTTGGATGTAGCAAGACAAGAATATAATATATATAAATCAAAATATTCTAGCTCAGTGACTGATAAATTAGTAGCCCAGCCTGGTACATGTAAATGAACTGATTACATCAGGGACATAGACAATAATAAAAGAAAATTCAAGACATGATAAGGATATAGACATGAGCCAATCTCCCTCTTTTATGGACAGAATTGATGGCTAAAGAAGAAAGACACTAAACTATTCTGTTGAATAGCAACTCCTTTGTACCACTACTTGAAGAAAATAAAAATATTCAAAAGAAGAAGAAGACATACACTGTAATTTGCACAAACATGCTACAGCTGATTTGCTATTTCATTGTTTTCAAATTATATCCAGTTTAATATATACTGCAATATAGATTTCAGTCTCATAAACTCTTCACTGTTGCATATAAAAACTGGAACTAGGGCTGGGAAAGTGGCTCAGTAGTAGAGTGCTTGCCTTGCATGCATGAGACCCTGGGTTTGATTCCTCAGACCACATAAGCAGAAAAAGTCAGGAATGGCGCTGTGGCTCAAGTGGTAGAGCACTGGCCTTGAGCTGAAGAGCTGAGGGACAGTGCCCAGGCCCAGAGTTCAGGCCCCACAACCAACAAAAACAAAACAAAACAAAAACTGGAAATAAAGTAGCATTTTTATGATGGTCAGTGATAGTACATTCAAGAAATGGAAGATTACACAACCATTAAAACCATGTTGTAGAAGACTATTTATTGACATAGAACGTAATTAATAGAGGGGCTAGACATATTAAGTGAACAATGTAGGCTACACAACAGGCCCTTTAGTAAAAATATACAAGTATATAAACGAAACAGAGACAGAGACCAAGACACAGGAACAAGGGTTTCACATAGAAACGTTAATGGCGGTCACTTGGTGGTAGGATTGTAGGTTGTATTTTGTTCTTGTTTCTGTGTCCTTCATAAATGTTCCAAAGAGAACACACACACACACACACATATGTAGGTCCAAAAGAAAACATATATGTGTTTATGTATATATGTGTGTGAGTGTTTGATTTAAAAAAAATTCCAAGTTAGTCAAATAATGACAACAAAGTCATTGAGTTACTACTGAGAGGACCCTAGCAAGGAAGGGAAGGGAAATAGATTGGGAGATGATTGGGCTCTGAAAACCCTGTTACTTTCCCCGTGTGGCCTTTGACATAGTTAAGCCAAGATGCAGGGGGATTTGAGATGGCTCCCAGAGTCACATAGGCAGGAGGTAGCAAAGTTAGTTTTTATATCATTCTCCACTGGATACCTCCAGTTTGGCTTATGGACCTGCGCTCGACCTTCTTTTGAGTTTGGGTTTTGTGTGTCGTGCTAAGGATGGATGCCAGAGACTCAAGCTTGCTAGGCAAGCATCGTGCCCCTGAGCTTTGCCACCAGCTCAGCTCGGCCTTCTTGACTTAAGTGCATGCAATGGACATCTGCAATTCTCCTCTTGTATCCAATGGGGGAAATAATCTCCTAAAACAACAACAAGTGGAGTCCTTTCTTGTTTTCTCAATCAGGCCATACGCCTTGAGGTAAAGATTCCAGAGCATTTTCTAAGCACTGAATTAGCTAATTCCAATTATCACCCCATTTTGCAGCTCAGGAAAATGAGATTTCCTGATCTTAGTGAAATCATCAAGGGTTGGATGGATGGAGAACCAGAACTTGGGTCTGATTTGCAAGCACCTGTGTGAACTCTGCCCTTGTGCGGATATTAGAACTGGGGCGTGAAATCCGTGTTGGTTTGGTTCAAATGTATTCTCATCCCTCCTTCCAGGCCCTGAGAGTGGGTAAAGACTTCCAGGGGTCCAGGAAGCTGAGGATGGATGCTGTTATTTCCATCTGGCCCCCATGTAAGAGAACACATAGCTGCACAATTATCCATGTGCAAATGGGCAAGTCCCTTGATGTTTGGATAACCACATCCATGCCTTGTCTTGGATCTGTTACTTCTCCAGATTCCATGGAGCCATCTCCTGCATTCCTCCTCTCACAGTTGGGACTGAGGGAGAGAAGCCTTGAAATCCATAGCAGCTTGGCTTTGTGGTCCCTCTGTGTGTGTGTGTGTGTGTGTGTGTGTGTGTGTGTGTGTGTGTGTGTGTGTGTTATAGAGGAAACAAGCCTGCTTGTGTGTCTGACTCCCCTGTACTCCATAGGTAGACGTGGTGGTGTCTGTGTGGTCCCGTAGAACTCTGTGAACCATCAAGGAAGTTTCTGTGTATTGCTCTCTCCACATTCCCCATTCGCTTTTGGATGGGATCCCATTACAGGGATGCAATTCCATTATGGAGATAGGACCCAGGGAAAGGAGACAGGGAGAACTGTCATGTCTACTTTTCCTTTTTGTTTTTTAAGTGACTGATGTGAAGCTAAATGGGAGTCCTGAGTGGGGAGTCTTACTGAAGAGTGTCTGCACGTGAAACCAATCCCGCTTTCATTAGCATTTCCGTCCTTAGCCTGGAGATTCCGCATCTACGATGGGATCTTACCCTGAGGGTTTAAAGCTGCATCTCTGCCCTCTAGGACTTGAATCTGGGCTAATTAGAAAATGAGCCCATCCCACATCTAATTTAGAAGAATAGTTGCCAACATTTTAGAAAAAAAAGGAGCCATTAAAATCAATTTGTGGTACTAGCTGGGAAGAACAGGAGTGCTGGGAGGAAGTCTAGGTCTTCCCAGGACACTGGTCCAGTCCTTCACTGTGGGAATGGAGTGCTAGTCCCCTCAGTGTCTGCCATGGCCCCGAGTAGGTACAGGAAACAAACATGTAAGCAGGGGAGGTTAAAGCAGGGGACCTCTGTGTGTGTGTGTGTGTGTGTGTGTGTGTGTGTGTGTGTGTGTGTGTGTGTGATGTGCTTGGCTTCAGATTGGATCATGCAAAGATGTAGAGATTGTAAATGACTACTTGTGGGAGATAGTAATTGCACACTGCTCCCTACTTCTTTGTCCCTTTCTCCAAGCTTTTTTCTTTTCTTTTTTTTTTTGGTCAGTGATGGGGCTTGAACTCTGGGCCTGGGCACTGTCCCTCAGCTCTTCAGCTCAAGACTAGCGCTCTACCACTTGAGCCACAGTGCCACTTCTGACTTTGTCTGTGTATGTGGTGCTGAGGAATTGAACCCAGGACCTCATGCATGCAAGGCAAGCACTCTACCACTGAGCCATCTTCCCAGCCCTCTCCAAGCTTTTCAGTGGCCATCAAGTAGGCACAAGTTCATGCTGTGTTTGCCTTCCTGTCTGTGGTCTAGGAAAGGCTGGGCCTCACCTCACCTGTATGATAGTGTTCATGGGTTTATCTGTAGATCCTGGCATCTTCTATGTAGCTAAATGACAATGGATTAGGGTTCATTTTTCCTCCTTTTCCTCAAGGGAACAGAAGGAAATATTCTTGAGTGGCAACTGAGCATCCTTAGTCCCTTCTGCAGGGCTAGGTGATTGAACCCAGGGAAATGCTCTACCAACCCCTTTCCCCTCACATATAAATTCTTAAAGATGGTTTCTTTAGGAATACTTCTAAAAATGGAGATGGAAAATGATTAATACTTTTCAGATTCTTGACTTCACCAGCATTCTCTTAGGATGTGGAGGAGTCTGGAAGCGCTCCTTTTCTTTGTCCTTGTAATTTCCAAAGGAAGAACTTAGATCCTCAGATTTCCACACTATTGAAGAGCAATGAGCCATATCCTATTTGTAGCTGAATAAGGAATTCTTAGACTTTATAATAACTATATTATTATTAGTATTAATAATAATAATATTTTTGTGCCAGTCATGGGTCTTGAACTCAGTGTCTGGATACTGTCCCTGAACTTTTTTGCTCAAGGCTAGTGCTCTACCACTTTTGGCTTTTTGGTGGTTAATTGAAGATAACAATCTTACGGACTTTCCTGCCAGGGCTAACCTTCAGCTGTGATCCTCAGATTTTAGCCTCCAGCATAGCAACAATTATAGGTGTGAGCCATTGTCATCCTGCTTATTACTAATGAATTGGAGTTAAGAGTCTCATGGTCCTTCCTGCTCTAGCTAGCTTCAGTGGTGATTCTCAGATCTCAGCCTCTTGAATAGTTAGGATTACAAGCATGAGCTACCAGTGCCTGGCACTATATTATTATTAAGTGGGCGCCCCAAAAGTCTTGGAGAATTTGGATAGAACAGAAAATGCCAGAGCTCCCTCTTCACCCCACCTCTCCTAATCTACAAGTCACCCCACTCCTTTGCCCCAGTGGTGGATTATATGTCAACAGAGCCTGAGGTGCCTTTCTGTTGACCTGCCGTCAGTTCCATGCAACTTGGACTGACCATTGTTCTTTCCGGATGGTTCAGATCGGACGCCTGATAATTGGACAGAATGGCATCTTATCGACACCTGCGGTTTCCTGCATTATTAGGAAGATCAAGGCGGCTGGAGGAATCATCCTGACCGCCAGCCATTGTCCTGGAGGACCAGGGGGAGAGTTTGGAGTGAAGTTCAATGTTGCCAATGGAGGTATGTGGCTCAGAAGAATATTCCTTAATCCTGATGTCTTCCATTCTATATTATCATAATTTGCAATGAACCTCTGATGGTAGACCAACAAGGTGGAGAGGAGATGGCTTAGACAGAATCTAGTGAGCTATCTAATAAGCATGTGATGTATGTAATGGGCTCCCAGAACCCTTTTGTTGGCCTTTGATCTCCTCCTGTACTTCACAGCCCAATGAAGTGAGGGTCTGAAGCCAGCCTGGACAGCAGAGTCCATGACACTCTTATCTCCAATTAACTACCAAAAAGCTAGAAGTGGAGCTGTGGTTCATCTGGTAGAGCACTAGCCTTGAGCGAAAATGCTTCGGGGTAGTGCACTGGTCTTGATTTCAAGCCCCAGTATTAGTCAGTATGTGTGCACGTGCGTGCGCACACACAAACACACACAGAGAGTCATTTTTGTGATATTGGGTGAGGCATAAGGGAAGAAAAGCATGATTTGTGTTAGAGCACTTTTGAGGTTTTCACTTTCCACATATAAAGATCAATCAGTTGAATTATGGGTTATCTTCTCTCCCACCTACTGGAATGGGTGCATTGCCATTCCTTTTTATGAGCATTTATCCGGAGACAGTTGACGGTACTGTCCTGCAAGGCTCCATTGTCTGAGAGAAAAACATTGTGAGTCACATGTATAATTAAACCACATTAAAAATGTAAAAAAGGGAAAAGTAACATAATACATTTTATGTAACGTACCATGTCAACATATTATTTCAGTGTTATCAAGGTAAACACTATTAATGTAATCTCTTCAAAATTCACTGTTCATTGTACACTTGCAGCACATTTCAGCTTGACTCGCTCAAATCAAGTTGCTTAACAGCTAAATGGGGCTGGTATATTGTGTTAGATAGGAGTGGTATAGTTCCAAGGATGGGTATATAAAACCAATCAATGGTGGGCAAATACAGTCATAATAACCACTATACCTATATGAAAATGGACCAGGTAACTTGAGGGGGTGGGTGGGGTTTGGGATAGATGGGGGGAGGGGAATGACGGAAGGAGTCACATTGATCAAGGTTCATTGTACTCAAATTGACATGTTGAACTGAAACCCTTTTCTACAACAACCTAAAGATAATAAATAAAAAGAAAAACAGTTTCTGTTTAGTGGAAAGTCCCAATATCATTGGTAAGGAAAAATTTAAACTCAGACTACCTCTCGGTCTCTCTCTGTCTCAGTTTTTCTGATTTCTACCCTTCTTGCAAAAAAAATAGTCTAAGTGGCTTGCAGGAAGATGTACACATTAAATAAGAGGAGAAAAAAAAATCAAGAACCACATTGGATTTTACATTCACAGTATTTCAAGTTTCTCGCTCTCCCCAAGTGATAATGGATCAATTGTATTTAGTTAAATTTCATCAAAAAATCTTGAGAGTAACTAAATATTGCCTAGAAATTGAGGGAAAAATCATCAATTTATCTACTTACTAGGCAGCAGAGTCAGGAGTAGAAATCCTATTTTCTTTCTCTAGGTACTTTTGGGAAGCTGTGGTTTACATCTGGAATCCCTCACTTCTGCCAACTGTGTGTCCTGAATAAAGCTAATTATGTAACCCGGTTCCCTAGCAGGTGTGAAACTATTTTTAGAGCAGATGTATGATTGCTTCGAACAAACAAACGTGGGTTATGAGTCTACCCAGAACAGGTGAGGCTGGCCACACTTCCTCCATGGTTGAAATGAATGTAGAAATACTCAGGCTAATTGAGCTGTCAGACATTGTTCATTGTGTGGAGTACAAATGAATCTTTTTCCTTCCTGGTGGAGAAAGAAAGTAACCTTTCTCTCATTGAAAGTCTTGAGATTTAAAAGAAATATATTTGGATGTTCACATTGTAGGTCCTGCCCCAGATGTTGTTTCTGACAAAATCTACCAGATCAGCAAAACCATCGAAGAATATGCTATATGTCCTGATCTTCGCATTGACCTTTCTCGACTAGGAAGACAAGAATTTGACCTGGAGAACAAGTTCAAGCCATTCAGAGGTAATCAATGACATGTATTTTCTAGAAGTCAGAAAAAGCTTCATGGATGGGGCTTTCTCCCAAGGGGGCCTGCATATGTGGAGTCTAGTTGTGCACAGGTTGGGTGGAAATTTTCCTGGTTGGAGATCAACGGTCCCAGAAGGGAAGTGAACTCATGAAAGTCACTCAACAATTAACTACCAGAAAACCAGAAGTGGCACTATGACTCAAAGTGGTAGAGTGCTAACCTTGAGCAAAAGCGCTCAGAGACAACACTCAGGCACTGAGTTCAAGCCCATGACTGACAAAATAAATAAATAGAAAGTAAGGAAAGAAAGGAAGAAGGAAGGAAGGAAGGAAGGAAGGAAGGAAGGAAGGAAGGAAGGAAGGAAGGAAGGATGGAAGGAAGGAAGGAAGGAAAGAAGGAAGGAAGGAAGGAATCAAACATTTCAAAAGCCACTTAATAAATTGCATCATTTTCAACATAGGAAAGGTTCAGTGGATGACTCCGTTATTGCATTCCTGGGCCAGACTGTGAATTCCCAAAAGTCATTTTTGAATGTCTAAGCAATCAAGTTAGAATAATTTAGTGAAGAGGAAAACTGACAAGCCAGGGTGATTATTAAATTTCCCTTGAGAAGTAGACGTTTCTTTTCCAAGGTTAGAATCATGCATTTAAGTTTCATCTTGTGCAAGCACCGTGTTAGGAGCTTTTATAAAGGAATTTAGAAACTAACAAATGGGTTTAGGCAAGTTGTGTCAAGAACTAAAGAAACAACCTAGTGTGGTGGTACTCACATATAATCTCAGCAGTCAAGAGGCAGAGGCAAGAGAATCCTGAGTTCTAGGTCAGCCTGGGCTCCATAGAACCTGTCTCCAGCAAAGCAAATAGGTAAGCAAGCATCCAAACAAACAAGCAAAAGTGAATTGGACAAATGTTATCTGCTCTTCTAGTAGAGTGACTAAAACTTCTGAAACATTAAGTATGCAGTCAAGAATTCAATGTATATCCTACAAAATTAAGAAAAGTGAGGGAAGGGGTGGATTGGGACTGATGGGTGAGAATCATAAGGGTGATGTTGATCAAGACACATTGTATTCATAAACTGTTCTGTTGGTGGCTGCTCTTTTGTGCAACTACTCAAATAAAATAAAATAATAAAATTAAAACAATGACATTAAAAAAGTATTAATTCTGAACCAGGCAAGATGAATACCATTGTATGCACATCATTTCCTTCCCCTCTAGTTTTACCTGTTGCTATTTCCTAAAGGACATATAGGAAGTCATAGAACTTGGATGTCAATTTTGTTACTGTGTCTAAAAGATTGAGTTCTCTTTGTGTTAAGAGGGTGACCTTATTTATAAGTACATTAACTTTTCTAAAAAAAAAAAAGATAAAATGTCTGGTTCATGCTAGATGCTGGTGGCTCACACTTGCAATTCTGGCTACTCCAGAGGCTGAGATCTGAGGATCGTAGTTGGAAGCCAGGCCTGGTGGGAAAGTGCATGAGTTGCTTATTTCCAATTCACCAGCAAAAAAGCCAGCAGTGTAGGGATGGCTTAAGTAGTAGAGCAATGCCCTTAATGCCCTTGAGCAGAAAAGCACCGAGACTCTGAGTTCAAGCCCACTGTTAGCACCACACACACACACACACACACACATACACACACACACACACACACACACGCACGCACACACGCACGCACACACGCACACACACACATCTAGACCATAATATATTTCAGAGAGTGAGAAATATCTTAAAATGGACCATGTGTGGGTCCTAATGCTAGGCAACACATACCAAATCTTAGTCAAATGTTTGCTCAGCTAGTGAGCAGACATTTATTGAAAGCCATGTGATACTAAGGAAAGTAACAGCACCCAGTTTTATTAATCTAGTTGGCAACATGCACATACACATATGTACGTTCACATGGCCCACGGAATGTTAGCCAACAGAAGGCAAGGCAAGGGATATGTTATATTAGACAAAATAATTTCAGTCTGCTTGACTACATATGTCTGGAAGGCCTGGGCTAGAAGATGGCTGGGGAAACAGAACATTACCAAGATGTGATCTTTATTCCTTCTTGATATCATTGGAATTTTTATACTTGTCCAAGAGTCCTAAATCTTTGGTGAGCTCAGGGTCCAGCTGTTTGCTTGAGTTACATTGTGAAGTTGGATGGCTTCTCCTAAAAAGCTGTTGATAACCAGCAGGTGGGTGGAGGGATTCTCTGCTTCTCAAGAAGAATTTGGAGATAATCGCTTGAGATAATTTATGTGCCCTGTTCGCCCCGGTTTGAGTGTGGAGCAAGGCTTGAGTTAATTGGAAACAAAGCAGTCCTTGGCGCTTTACCTTAAAGTGTCAACAGCTTCAACCACTGGATGTAAAATTTTAATTTCCTTGGACTTCTTGCTTCTTTGTTTTTGACATTTCTGTTTGGCATCATGCGCTATCTGTTGTAAATGCCATATGTTTTTACGCAAGCGGGTCAAGAATGAAAGAAACTGAATTGTAATCTCCATCATATGGTAGAAAGTAAAACTTCAAAAAATGGGGTTATAAAATTTTATTTTATAGATTAACTTCTATGTACAAGATAAACTTTAGGTAGCCCCAAATTGACCCATTGTAGGCCTATAGTGTGTGTGGATACATTTCGCTTATTTTCTTGATTAATAGCCTCTTCATTTCAAGATGATTAAAGGTAATTAAAAACAGACTTGCTTCTTAAAAAGGAGTTATTATATTGGGCTGGGAAGGTAGTTCAGTGGTAGAGTGCTTGTCTTGCATGCATGAGGCCCTGAGTTCAATTCCTCAGCACCACATAAGCAGAAAAAGCCAGAAGTGGTGCTGTGGCTCAGGTGGTAGCGTACTAGCCTTGAGCTGAAGAACTGAGGGACAGTGCCCAGGCCCAGAGTTCAAGCCCCATGACTGACAAAAAAAAAAGGAATTATTACATTATCTTTGAGTGGACAAATATGCATTGATTTATGAGTAAGGACAAAGGTTTTAAGGTGTGTATTTCACCAAATGAAGGGGAAATTTCACATCACAATTAAAATATAATTAATTATATATGATACATGGATTTCCTGAGAATATCATGATTATGTCATGTGTCTACCGTTGCAGAGCTGTGATCAAACCAGGGTCTTGCACATGGAGCAAGTGTTCTACCAGCTGAACTGTGTCCTTAGTCCTGTGTGATTGAAAATTATTCAGGGAGTGATTAGAAATACCTTCAGTATACGTTTACATATTTGAGAACTCCAAAGTAACATTCATTTGACCAATTTGAAAAGCAATACACACACATATACATTTTAAAACTTCAGTGTGAACTTCAGAAGCAAAGCTCTTGCACAAAATTTTACTTCCTTAAAGAGTGAAATATTTACTACTTTGAGGAAGAGTATTTTCTTCTCTTTTTTAAAAAATAGCATACATTAATTGTAAAGGAGGGTTTGTTGTGACCTTTCATTAATGTATACAATATATTCCAATCAATCTCCAGTCTCCCTTACCCTGCCACGTCCTAAAACAATTTCAACAGATTTTATTGTTCTATTTTCACACATAAAACAAGCTACTTTGACCCTGTTTATCCTCATGTATGCTCCTGGGAAAAGTATTTTCTGAACGTTAGTTATGTACTTATTGACAAGTTGAAAAAATGTGTTTTATTCTGGATCTTTCATACACTAAACAATGGAAGAATTTTGATTTCTGGTCATTGGGTGTTGCCAAACACTGGTAAACATTTGCATTTAATGAGGATTTTCAGGTATTTGGAGAATACCTGGAAATTGGTTATTACATTGGGTACCAAAGAGATTTCAGATACAACTCAGGAAATAGTCTTCATCTCTAATTTTGCTCTTGGATCTGGTGGGCACATGACATTTGGAAAAAGGGTTCACTATTGTGGTCACATTATTTTTTTATTTTTGGTGTTGGTCATGGGGGCTTGAACTCAGGGCTTGGGCACTGTCCCTAAGCTTTTTACTCAAGGCTAGTGCTCTACCACTTTGAGCCAGAGCTCTATTTCTGGTTTTCTCATGGTTAATTGGAGATAAGAGTCTCACAGACTTTCCTGCCTGTGCTGGCTTTAAACTGGGATTTCAGATCTCAGCCTCTTGAGTAGCTAGGATTACAGGCATGAGCTACTGGTGCCTGGCCTGAGGTCATACTTTGGCTTCCTACCAATTGAGTCATTCTTGGGCCAACTCCCACAGGAAAGGATACCAAGATGATGATTGGCTGATATTTGTGTATTAGGAGAAAGAGGTGACAGAAAGGGGTGACATTGGATATTTTGCTCTTAAATTATTCTTTTTTTTTTTTTGTTGGTCGTGGGGGCTTGAACTCTGGGCCTGGGCGCTGTCCCTCAGCTCTTCAGCTCGAGGCTAGCGCTCTACCACTGGAGCCACAGCGCCACTTCTGGCTTTTTCTGCTTATGTGGTGCTGAGGAATTGAACCCAGGGCCTCATACATGCAAGGCAAGCGCTCTACCACTGAGCCACCTTCCCAGCCCTCTCTTAAATTATTCTTAAGGTTAATTTTTTTTCCTTTGCAAATAAGTTATAATGATATTAGTGATAGCCACTTATCATGTGACAAGTTCATCATGTGTTGGTCATGCTTTGATTTGTATCTACAAATAGACATTTAACTTCCCAGTTGTGGTGTGGGGTTATGATGGTGTTGTGGTTGAATTAAATGCTATCAGGCTATTCTTGCATGTTCAAGTCTCTTTCCTGGGTAGAGTCATTGATGTCTGGCTTGTTTTCCTGTTGTCAGTGGAGATTGTGGACCCTGTGGATATCTATCTCAACCTGCTTCGGACCATTTTCGACTTTAATGCCATTAAGAGTTTGCTGACTGGGCCCAGCCAGCTGAAGATCAGAATTGATGCAATGCATGGAGGTAAGCCATAGTTTTCCACAGATGGGTGGGTGAGAAAAGGGAAGGAGACTTCTATGTGGAGTTTGTGAACTGTGAGGAAGGTTGGATTCATAGAGGTGCACACAACTTACCTATGCTCAGCTATTTGGAAGGCTCTGGGAAACTTCAGGGCTCTTAATGTCTTTGCTTTGGGTGTTAATAAAAACAAAAGTTGATCAAATGAATTTGAGGCTCTGCCTGTGAGAGTATAGAGTGGATTAAGACTTTATTTACTTATTTGTTTATTTATTTATTGCCAGTCCTGGAGCTTGAACTCAGAGCCTAGGCGCTGTCTCTGAGCTTTTTCCTCTAGCTAGCACTCTATCACTTGAACCACAGCTCTGCTCCTGCCTCTTGGTGTTTAGTTGGAGATGAGCGTCTTTCCTGCTCAAGCTGGCTTTGAACCTCCATCCTCAGGTCTCAGCCACCTGAGTTGCTAGGGCTGCAGATGTGAGCCACTGGCATTTGGCTAAGACTGTATTTGTTTTTAATCACAGTACCTGACACAATTCAAATAGTTCCAGGCTAGCACTCTACCACTGGAGCTACAGTGCCACTTCTGGCTTTTTGGTGGTTAACTATATATAAGACTCTCACTGGTTTTCCTGTCTTGGCTGGCTTTGAACTGAAATCCTCAGATCTCAGCCTCTTGAGTAGCTAAGCTGTGCTTAGTTTCTGTTTTTAAAGAGTGTTTTTTATTCAGTTTTCACAGTATTCACTTTTTTTTTTCTTTGCCAGTCCTGGGGCTTGAACTCAGGGCCTGGGCACTGTCCCTGAGCTTCTTTTGTTCAAAACTAGCACTCTACCACTTGAACCACAGCACTACTTCCAGCATTTCATTTGGTACTGAGGAATAGAACGCAAGGCTTTATGCATGCTAAGCAAGTACTCTACCACTAAGGCACATTTCCAGCCAGTATTCAGTTTTTATTCAGCAGTTTGCAATCTTCAAATGATCATATAAAGAATATCGCGGAAGGAGCCCTTCAGAGCTGGGTATATTCCGCAAAAGCACTTAATGTGTGAAAAGTAGCAGATTATAAGTAATTGTCCTAGAATTGATCTCTTCAAGGCCATATTTTAGAAAACTTTGCGGGGGGTGGGGGGAAATTTTCACCTAATGAGATTGATCAATACATCTTATATGTGCCTAACATAGTCAGGAGCACAAAGTAGATGCTCAGGAAATCATAGCTAATGTTGATGTTCTTTGCTGTCTGTTAAAGAAAAAACCCTACAGAATTTTCTTTCTTTCTTTCTTTTTTAGTTCTAGGCTATTAAATCACTTTTATTGTTTTAACTCTTATTGTTTTAACCAGAATGAAATACTCAATAAAAGGATTCTATAAATATTACCTATCATTGTGTATTCTTTTTTATTTTTAGTTATGGGCCCCTATGTGAGAAAAGTTCTTTGTGATGAGCTGGGAGCCCCTGCCAATTCGGCAATAAACTGTGTCCCACTAGAAGACTTTGGAGGACAGCATCCTGACCCAAATCTGACATATGCAACCACCCTTCTAGAAGCTATGAAAGGAGGAGAATATGGGTTTGGAGCTGCATTTGATGCTGATGGGGTAAGTAGGAAAGTAGGAAAGTTTTCCGCCTGCTGATCCTCTTACCACAGAAGGATCTGATCACTGGAAATCAGAGTATTAATGAGCTCATCTGGAGCTGATATAAAATGGGGACATGTAGGCTCCAATTGGCTCTGCATCTTCTTATTGAATGAGTAGATAGTGCAGTTAAATAGCCACATCTTTCTTTGTTTCAGATTAACATATGTTATCAAGAAGTGATTTCTTGGGGGAGGGTTGGTGGAGGAGGGAAAGAGGGAGAAAAATGAGGGAGGGGGTATCCAATTACTCACTGCCTTATGTAACTGTAACCCCTTTGTACATCCCCTTGACAATTAAAATTAAAAAAAGAAGTGATTTCTTCTTTAGAAAACAATGTCCATGCAATAAATCCTTATTTGTAGCTGGGTTTGTTGAAAGTGCCGTGGTAAGAAACCAGCTATTTCAGCAGGAACTCTAGGGAGAAAGTATTATGTCTGGAGGCTCTGAAATAGCCATCCACATTTCAACTGGTGGAATCCATTCCTAGAAGTGTTGAGAGTCTGAGCCCTTGTTAGTCAGGGGTTTATAAAGTTTCCCTTGCTCTCTTTGGTCCCATTCATTGCTTCACGTTACTTACACGGCAGTAAAATGGCTTGTGATGGAGATGGGAATGGGCTGCTCACAGCAGATGCCTTGGGCTGATCATTTTCACACATTCCTTCCCACAGGACCGCTACATGATCCTAGGCCAGAATGGCTTCTTTGTGAGTCCTTCTGACTCCCTGGCCATCATTGCTGCCAATCTCTCTTGCATTCCATATTTCCGTCAGATGGGTGTTCGAGGGTTTGGGAGAAGTATGCCCACCAGTACAGCCCTGGACAGGTAAGCAAGGATGTGACTGTGGAATACTTTATGGTAGACCTCTGTCGGCCAGGAACCCTTTTCTGGGGATGTGGTGAAAGTCTGGGGACTTAGATGCGTGCTGTGGTGTATTCACGCGGGTATTCGTGCGGGAGTCAGGCAGAAACCGATGGATTTCAGTGCTTTGATTTCAGTGCTTTGTTTTTCTTACCTACAAAATGAGAGTACTGACACTGTCAACCTTACATGGATCATTATGAAGTGTGGATATAGTTACTCACGGAAAACTTTTAACAGAATTCCTGGTCCATCGTTAATACTTCATAAATGCTTAGCTATGGAATTTACCAAACCCAAAAGTATGTACAGTATAAGTGAGTGTAGATAGCATGGAGTTGGGTCAGATTACCTTATGTACAAAAGCTTGTATTATTATTAATGGATTGCTTGATAGATTTGTTGTGAGCCATCAATGAGATTGCATGGAAAGCTCCCAACAGGAGTTTACATCATGCTGTAGAGGTTCAGGGTTAGCTTTCTTTCTTCTTGTCCTAACCATCCCTTTCATTATTCACCTCAATTTATGAAATAGTGAAAACTCTTATATATATATATACATATATTCTAAAGCAATAGGTATTATTAATAGAAATCATTAAAGGAGTATAGGTATGTACATTCAGGAAGCTAGCAAACACAGGCACATGAGAACTTCTTGCTCTTCTCCAAGTTACCTATGTTAATAGGCAAATTCAAATTTACCATCAGATCTTTCCATAGAATGTACACATATGTTAAAATGCACTATATACATAATATGTTATGTAATCCCCAAAGAGATCAGAATGTACATATTACTTATAACCTGCTAAATTAATAAACCTTTATGACATGTCAAACAAAGGTCCTATGCAAGTTTTTGGAGTAACTTGAAGATGCCTTTCATGGTTAGCTTTCCTATCTACATGACATCTGGTTTTGTCACTTTAGTCTCTCTTTGTCTAGTACATCTTTCCGTTTTATCTCATGACAATGATTTTTGAAGAGACCTGCCCTGCACAATCTCACTTTCAGGTTTGGGTGGTTATTTTCTTCTGGTGTTATTCATTTGATCATTCATGAAGTAAAATTTATAGACAGTGAAATGCATAAACGTAAGCATTCAATTCAACATTAGCTATGTTGTATTAGTATTGTTATGTAAATTATTTGTTGGACACTTTTGATCACTCCATGGTAAGTAGTAACGGAGTAAAATGCTTGCCCTATGGTAGCTTTATGTTGTTTTGCAATAAACGGCATAACGACTTTTCCATTTTACACCTCAGTTTGCAATGTGTGTGAGTTCTGGTGGGACACAGACACGAATTGTCTGGGGTTCCCAGCTCATCATGAAGAACTTTTCTCACATAGAGGCCCATAACTAAGGTCTTTATTTGAGCCATCCTAGAGAGTGAAAAGAATGACTGTTATGATTTAAGTTTACAACATCTCCATAACGATGGCTTTGAGCTCTTTTCAAACTGGTCTTTGTATAACTTCTTATTATGTATCTATGTGAAATGTATTTGCCCCCCCCTTTTTTTGTCTGTCATGGGTCTTGAACTCTGGGTCTGGGCTCTGTCTCTCAGCTCTTCAGCTCAAGGCTAGCGCTCTACCACCTGAGCCATAGCACCACTTCAGCCCTTTTCTGCTTATGTAGTGCTGAGTTATCAAACCCAGGGCCTCATGTGTGCAAGGCAAGCACTCTACCACTGAGCCACCTTCCCAGCCCCTATTTGCCCATTTCTAAATTTGTCTCTTTGTCTTTTTGTTTTGTATTTGTGAAGATCTTTTATGTTTTTTGGATTCAATTTTTTTTTTTTTTGGGTCCGGTCATGGGGACTGAACTCTGGGCCTGGGCGCTGTCCCTCAGCTCTTCAGCTCAAAGCTAGCACTCTACCACATGAGCCACAGCGCCACTTCCAGCTTTTTTCTTTTTGCTTATGTGGTGCTGAGGAATTGAACCCAAGACCTCATGCGTGCAAGGCAAGCACTCTACCACTGAGCCACCTTCCCAGCCCACAGATTCAGTATTTTGTTATAGATGTAGTAGCACAAATAAATTCCCTGCCTGTTTGCTTGCCTTTTATCTTCTTATTAGCATCTTTCAGTGGTTATATGTTTTAAGTCCCCAGGAACTGAGTCAGGATGATGGGTACTTTGCAGGTATTTAATATTATAGAATTATGTCTAGATAATGCATTCCAGAAGCACAATTGGATGCAGAGGGTGCCTGGGAAAACAGATGAGATTATTTCCCAACTCTCCTTTGGGGCAGCCAGCAACTTTCTAAACAATCACCAGGAGAGGCTGGTTTCATTCGGACAACAAAACCCATTTGTCCTCTCTTCTTGTGGAAATCTTCCAGTCATTCTGGATTTCACTTCATTCCCCTCCACCTCCCACCCTTTTCCTTTGCCATTAAATCTCCGTTTCGGTCAGAAACCAGAAGCCTTGCTTGGAAAGTTCACAAAGGGCCTGTTCTGATATGCAAGTGACCATTTAAAAGGATTCTTCATGCTTGCCAGTTGGGATTCAGCATTCTGTGGGGCTGTGACGTGGGGATTGGTTTGGGGTATTTGATCTGCATGGCGGCTCCCAAGTGGTTTCCCATGATGGGCACTGTGTAAGCATCTTTCATCCTAGGTGGGAAAAGAATTCCAGCTTCAAAACGAGGATCTGCTCGGTCTTTTCCCAAATACCTTAGGATTTCCCAAGTAATTGAATGATATCATAGGACTGTGTGCCCATCAGGCACAGGTCTGGAAGAGTAACAACTGAGTAGTTGAAGTCCCTGGACTAACCTACCTGCCTACACTCCTGGGATTCTGGAATGAAGGGGGGCAGTGTGCTTCTTTGAGACTGGTGAAGTACTCAGACAAACGGTCATTGTTCACAGATCATTGTTGTGTCTTGAGGGAAGACTTCCAGTGTTTTTAATTTCTCTGCTCTTCTATGCTACAAGAATTCTATTTACCGCAGAATAATGATGTTCTAGCCCTGTCACCATTCTTTTTGGGGGGCTCTGTCATTCTGAATGTGTCTGGTTTATGGGTGCAGATGAGTTGTGCTGCTAAGAACATTTTGATCCAGATGATTTGAGAGAAGTAATACATATTCCCAATATATTTGGGGCCCAAGACCCACCCCCAACTCACTTGGCGGTATTACACGACCTTCTGCGTCATCATCTTTCAATAATATTTATGAAGTTCCCATTTGTACTTGGGTCTGTGCCAAGGGCTGTGAAAAAAGGCCATCACCCACAAGTAGAGGAGAGCCTGGCTCACTTGACATGTTCAAACTCTCAAGCAAGGCCAGCATCCTGAAGTCATTCTAGGAGCCAGCTCTGAGGAGTATATTTTGACTATAAAGAAGAGCCTGGGAGGGCTGGGAATGTGGCTCAGTGGTACAGTGCTTGCCTAGCATGCATAAAGCCCTGGGTTGGGTTCCTCAGTACCACATTCTGTTTATGTGGCACTGTGGCTCAAGTGGTAGAGTGCTAGCCTTGAGCAAAAGAAGCTCAGGGACAGTGCCCAGCCCTGAGTTCAAGCTCTGTGAATGGCAATTAAAAAATTCACCCTAGAAGGCTGTCACCCATAAATGTACTGGTGAAGGAATGAATGCCGCTCCACCCTCTTTTCTCTTGGTGCTATCCCAGATTTCACCATTTATCCACCCAGAAAGCATTTATTGAACACGTTCTATGTCCTAGACACAGTCTCCTACCATGGTAGAACTTACACTTCAGTAGGAAAAGACCAAGACAAAGAATAACAAATATGCAGGGCTGGAGGCATGTCTTAGGTGGTAGAATACCAGCCAATGAGCGAAAGCAAGCATCAGATAGGGAGTTTGAGTCATGGTCTTGGACAAAAATAGAAAGAAATAAAAAGTATATAATCTAAATCCAGCTTCCACACAGAAGAGAAACCATACATTGAGTGGTATGCAGTATCTATACATGTAATAACCGAAATATGGTAGATTCAAGGGAGATCTCAATGAGTGTAATTCCTTAGAAAGGCAAAAATCAAAGTTCAAGAAAAGAAACACCAGGAAGTGGGCACTTGAAAGGACTGGGGTGGGTTAAGGAGAAAAAGGTAGATGAATGAAGAGGAGAATGTAGTCAAGAATTCAGTGCATAGCCTACAGGATTAAGAAGAGTGAGGGAGATGAGACCCTTGTCCATTGTATGGCTAGTGAAGATCTTCTCCCAATCCGTGGGCTTTCTATTGATCTTGCTAGCTATGTCCTTTGCCATGCAGAAGCTCTGCAATTTCACGCAATCCCATTTGTCCAACCTTTCTTTGATGTGTTGTGTTTCTGGGTCTCTATTAAGAAAATTTCGGCCTGTGCCAAGGAGACCTAGGGTTTCTCCATCCTGTAATGTTTTCAGAGTGTCTGCTTTGACTCCGACGTCTACTCAAAACATTAACAACAAATCTTCAAAGAAACAACTGCCCAATAAATAAGTGGGCTAAAGACTTAAAGAGAAACTTCTCTGAAGAGGAAAGAAGGATGGCCAGTAGACACATGAAGAAATGCTTAACCTCCCTAACCATAACAGAAATGCAAATCAAAACAACATTGAGATACCACCTCACCCCAGTTAGAATGGCTATAATCAAGAACTCTAATAACAACAGATGCTGGAGGGGATGTGGACAGAAGGGAACCTTACTGCATTGTTAGTGGGAGTGTAAATTTGTTCAACCACTTTGGAAAGTAGTATGGAGATTCCTCAAAAGACTCCATATAGAGCTTCCCTATGACCCAGCAATCCCACTTTTGGGCATTTACCCAAATGTTCACAAATAAGACCACACTAAAGCTACCAGCACGACTATGTTTATTGCAGCCTTATTTATCATAGCTAAGATCTGGAACCAACCCAGATGCCCCTCAGTAGATGAATGGATCAAGAAAATGTGGTATATATACACAATGGAATTCTATGCCTCCATCAGAAAGAATGA